ACCGGGCAGTGGTGTAGGCGCCGGTCGCGGTGCCTGTCGTGTGCTTAGCAAAATACCGCGAATCAGGATACGATATTACGCGAAAAGTGCCGAAGATTTGAGAGTCACTGTTATGGTGAGTCCATTGTGGGTACAGATAGAATTTTTAGTACATAGTCGCTTGTAATATAGGTACTCAATCCACAAATACATCAAAGAGACAATATAATAAACAAAATATAGCCTCTCTACATAGCTCTATCACTAACAGAAACAGCCAATTATTTTTATTGTGATATGATATAAATGAACTATCAGACTTTTCATTATTGTAATTACTTATTTATTGCATTATTCTCATTCGGTTACTATAAAGCTATAAGTAAGTATTAAATAAAGTAGGTTACGAGCCATTTTGCAAGGAATTGCAAAAACGCCCATCGTGCCGCTTGCGGAATGCCATAGTTAAACTATAAAATTGTTGAAAACACGGCAAATCACCAGTCTGTACGTTGGAAATAAGGCCCACACACGGTTTTTAGAAACAATATGTTGCTAAATGTTTTGCGAATTGCACAAATTTGTCTACGAATTCAATGGAACCATTTCGATTATAACACGTATTTACTTAGCATAAAAACCGATACATTTTATTTAAATATGATAAATAGCAAGGTGTAGCAGATTATAAGTTATGGCAACTAATTTAGCACATAGGTTTTAAGAAGCAGTAGAGCTCCTTGTGAAAGAGTTCGTCCAGGGAACTATTGCCACTTTACCTACTTCTGCCGCCAAGCAATATACTGCTTTCCGGCTTTGAAGAAGGATGCTGGTGATTTGTCAACTTATGTCTCAGTGTGACGAGCGCAGTGGCAGTATCTCAGATCTTTGCGATTTAAAGCCCTGAGTGGCACTGGAACTGTTATGAACAGGCGTGTCGGTTGCCACCAGGCGTATGACTTGTTCGTCTCAACACTTGGTATCATAAAAAAGTATTTGTTATTATTGTTAAGAAAAAAATTGAGGAAATCACCTACGATATCATTTGACAAGGAGTACCTACTGTAGGAGTACAGTCATAAGGTAAATAAAGCAGGTAAGTAGGTACAAGGCTGAGCAACGGACACTCGAAGCAGGTAGCCTACTATCAACCGATTATTTCAAAAATTTCAAATGCAGTGTCTTGAATGTGCATGTTGGAGAAAATTCGTCCGTTGTTTTCTTTTGCACATTCATCAAACACGAATTCGTGTCAGGGGCACCGGCTCTGAAAATTAAGAGGCCGATTTTGCACTCAAAAATAATTGAATTACTGTAATTTAGTGTTTGGATGTGTTATTTTCTAAATATTTGTAGTTCTAATGAACGTTACTTAGAAAACTTATTTAGCTTTTTAGAGTAATTGATGACTAAAGACCGATTCTACACGGCCTCGCGCTATTATATTTTGTGTGAATACTGTTCTACAAAATTTTATTGTACGTACACATCTATAACGTAAAGAAATAAAGCTCAGCATACATAACCTTATCTACAGGCAGCAAGTTACGGCAAAAAGAACGGAATGTGGTACGGCGGTGGTACGTCAACGGGAACGGGCGGGTGGTCCCGGGCGGGGACGCGAAAGCAGTCGGTGGCGGAGTCCGACGCACCTCCCCCCGGCGGCGGTGGCAACAAGCCTGCTAGTGGACGAGTCATTCGGATTATTAACAATATGGACCATTCTATTCAGGTGACATTGATTTTTGAAGTAAACAATATTTGCCTTACATTTCCAGTATTAAATGCTATAAGCACAAACTTTATTATAGGAAATGAAACTATTTTTGACTGTGATCAAAGTTAACCGTTACCATGGGATCTGTAAAGGGCCCGAAACGTTGGTTTGTTTGAAAAAACAAATATACGCGATTTAAATCCGGAAAAATAGTTTCATTTCCTATGTGTAATAATCGCGAAAACCTAAGAATTCGATACAAACTTTGTTAAGTAGTAAAAAAAACTATTTAGGAATTACAAAACTGATATACTAAACGTCTTTTCGAGTTCAGTTAAGTCCTTGTTGAAGATTTAAATTTGTAAAACCCGGGAACCGGTTTTCTTCAATGAAGACAATATTATTCTACTTCAGCCCTACGTAAAAATGCAGGTGGCTCGAATTTTACGATCTTATAGCATGAACTGGAATTAAAAGATACCCTACTTAATTTGAACTCATTCAGATATACAACTCAAAAATGGGTTCTTTTACTTGTTAATATAAAATATTCTAATTTTCTATACCGCGCCTCGTATCACGTGGTTAACAGCTTGGCAGCAAAACACGTAATATTCTATAAGGAAATAGTTTATGTAACTAGGTTAATAGAGTGCAATTAAAAACAAATCAAACCCTGTGTTTTTCTAAACTCACAGTAATGTAAACTTTATCGCAGATTGAAGGCTGTAATCATCGTAAATTGTATGCACGAATTTAACTCGACTAACGGCAAGTTTTACAGTTCTGTCATATACCAAGCGATAATAGGTTGTGTGAAACGTCTCCAAAAATATATAAAATTGGCTATTGAAACCTATTTCATTGCATTAGAGACTTTTGATTACCAGAAGAAGTGCTTGGTAGACCGTGTGTAGTACCGACTCTAATGAAACGTTTTCAATGTAAAGACCTTGATAGTTAAACACCGGGGTTTGATTGCCGGAGCCGCAAAATACAACATGAGGCGGAGTAAATATTCGCAATGATTTACTGTTCCGATATTCAAGGGCTGATGGAACATAATTCAAGGGCTTACGTTTAACATAAACGTTTTATTACAGTGCCGTGTTTTGTTAAACTTACGAACCACACAACCTTTTGAGGAAGTTTTAGAAGATTTGGGGCAAGTCCTGAAAATGAGTGGTGCTAAAAGGATGTACACAATCACTGGACAAGAGGTAATTTAAATCGGTAAACCAAAACGAATTTCGGTCCCAGTAAAATCACTCTTTGAAACTTGAGTTATAATTATTATTTCCTTAATGGTGGCTACTAGGCTTGGGCCAGTATCAGTTTCGAGGAATGTTGATCAATAATTTCGAGGGATGCAGTCAGATATTTGTCAGGCCGTTAAGGCAGCAGC